CAATATGTACGGTTCAAGCGATACAAAAGATGTTCCTATTACAATGGAAGATACTAAGAAAATGAAATATTTAGAACGAGTCATCAAGRAGACTTTACGTCTTTTTCCTCCCGCCCCGTTTATTGCACGCAAACTGTCCAGAGATACAAAAGGTATTTTTACATATAATAAAATATTTATTGTATATTTCTTTTACTTTCCATTGACATTACACTGTGTTATGTAAGAATAATATATATTTATTTATTTTGTTCAGTTAATGACAATGTGGTAATACCAAAAGATTGTCATGTAGTTTTTTCAATATTTTCACTTCACCGAAAAGATAAATATTGGACTGATCCGTTAAGATTTAATCCTGATCGGTTCTTGTCAGGAAATTATAATCGGAAATGTTTCTTACCATTCAGCTTTGGGAAAAGAGGATGTATAGGTAAAAGCATATTTTTATCTATTCTTGAAATAGTATTCTAAATAGTTGATCAGTAAAGTATTTRTTTTTTTAATATTACTTTTTTAGGTCAAATATTTGCTATGACCCAAATGAAGGTAATAGCAGCTAGTCTATTGAGAAAATTTACTGTTCGAATAGACGATTCAGTATTGGTGGAAAATGTTAACCTAAAATTCAAGATAACCTTGCAAACGGCTGAAACTATACTCTTGAGATTAAACAAGCGATAATATTTATCATTTTTGTCGATACTTATTTTATTTGTAGGATACGCAACACCGATTTTGTTACACGTCTTCGTGATACTATTGACATGGACTTGGACGAAGAATTTTCGTTTTTTTTATAAAATTGAATTTTAAGAAACCAAAATGTGGTGCAAGTTGTAGCGAAATTTGAATGTTCTTGCTAAAAACGTTGCCAAAAATCAAAATTTCAATTTTTTTTTTTCCTTCGTCCAGTTTCTAGTTTTAAGTATTCACTAAAAGACTCTATTTTTCAACAGAAAATCCCCCACCGTTTATAAGTTCTGCTGTCAACGCGAAAACACTTTCTTTCGGTGGGGTCACCGGAAATGACGTCGCAATGGCTAAGTTTAAAATATTTTTCAACCAAAATTTTAGGAAATGTTCTTTAAATATGTATCTTAAATGCTATAAAAAGTTTGAATAAGAATTCTATTTTTTGTATAGAAAAAAAAATTGTTGAAGTATGCTATATTTTCCCGGTGTAAACCCATGTAACCCCTTAATAAATTTGAAATTTTAATATGTTATTTATTATAGTAATAGGAGCCTACATTTTATACGGCCGACATTTTTTTCGCTAATTATATCCTGGCAGGACAACGAAACCTTACCTATTGTACATGAAAAGACTTTTTGCTAATATGACGAGATAATACACAATGATTGCATTTGTTTCCTTATTATTACCGTCTTTCGAGAGCGTACTGAAATTCCTGACAAACCTTTTAGTCCAGGCAATAAAAGGGCCAAGTGCCAAATTTTTGACCACTTTGCCAGAAACTTGATATAATGGTAATTCGACGACGCTGAATCGAATGGTG